AGTAAAAATCGACTTGATGGCTAGAGGTTTGGTTGGTAGTACATGTGGTTAAGTACTCAGCTCTTAATCAAAAGGTTGGTGATTAATACCTAGCAAGTGGCTCCATGGAAAAAAACCCTGGTGATCTCTGGTCCATAGAGATTACAGCCAAGAAATCCCATGGTGCAATTATACATGGGGTCACTATCAGTCATAAGAGACTTGATGGCACCTATATCACCAACACATGTCATATATTCATGAGTTCTTTATGAGTTCCTTCCTTCACATGCTTTCAGTTTAACTCGTTCGTCTTTTTCTAGTTTCTTATACTGGAAGGTTAAGTTATTGATTTGAGATCTTTTTATTATAGGAATTTACTACTATAAATTTCCTTCTAGCACTGCTTCAGCTGCATCCCATAGCTTTGGTATATACTATTTCCATTTTTATCTGTCTCAAATTATTTAATGATTTCCCTTGTGATACTTATTTGACTCATGATTTCATAGGATCATGTTTTTTAATGCAACACATTTGTGGATTTTCCTCAATTTCAGTATTCATTCTTGAGTTCAACTTCATATAAAAATACCACAGAATCCTATACTAGAAAGAAATTTCTATAAGAAAATAAAATCACTCCTACCTTCATCTGAGATTGTATCAGAGATAATCTTTATACACTTTGAAACAGGAGACAATTCAAATAAGAAATCTGAGAGTATATAAATTTTACGCAGTATTTTACAAGTAACAAAAAAGTGCTTTTATATCTACATGGAAATAATTTTTTTTTTTAAACAAATACCTTCAATATTACTTACAACCAAAATATACACAACTAATAGGTAAAGCAAGACAAAATACCTGATAGGTGTTGTCAAAACTGTCATACATGAATCTGGTGATCAAGGAGGTCTTTCCAACTAAAACGAAAAGAAATAAGAGATTCACTCAGTAAATACATTTCATTGGGTTACCAGACAATTCTACTTGCAGAGAACTGTACTTAAACTAAATGTGATATATCTTCAATGGTTCCACTAATAATTAAATCATATGGCCCTGAGTTTGTCACATGTGTTTAACAACAGGCAACAATCTCTCAAATCAAGAGTACAGGTAAAGAGTGTTTATTTAGTCGAAAGCTGAGCATGAACCTTGAAGAATAACAAGGAAGCTGTAAGCCACAACATAACATGGATGAACTTCAAGAACATTATGCTGAGTGAAATTAGTCAGTCACAAAAGGACAAATATTGCATAAGACCATTATTGTAAAAACTTAAGAAAAGATATCCAACACTAAAAGGGAAAAAAAAAATTTCTTTGTTGGTTACCAGTGGGGATGGGGGGCTTTGAGGGGATGGAAGGAGAGGACAGTAGAGCACAGGGTAGGGGGCAGACACATCATAGTTCAGGTATTGGGGAGAGCAATACACAAGAGGGGTGAGGGGGGTAGAAGAACAAGGTAAATAGGGGAACAATGAGACAGGTTTGCATGGGTTAAATGGGACAGAGGTAAATAGTGATGCATGCTCAACCTTAGAGCAACAGGGCTCTGTGATACAGGGATTGAGACATAATGTGAAGAGGGGAAACAATACTAAGATGCTTGACTGTCTTATGAACATTGGTTTCCCTTGCCTACTATTATAAAATAGACATTTGAGTGAGAAAAAATAAATATCGGGACACATGATTACAGAAAGCTTGTAAGCCTGTTTTCAACCTACAACTGATTGTTGTTGTTGTTGTTAAGTGCCATCGAGTCGGGTCCGACCCATAGCGACCCTGTACAGGGTTTCTGAGGGTGTAAATCTTTACGGGAGTAGAAAGCCTCATCTTTCTCCCGCGGAGCGGCTGGTAGTTTCGAACCGCTGACCTTAAGGTTTGCAGCCCGATTCGTAACCACTACGCTACCAGAGCTCCTTGGAATACCTAAAAGGGGTTCGACAACTTGCCCAGTGAAATAGGAGCCTTTGTAGTGTACAGAACCTTAGGTGGAATCCTGAGTCCCACCCTTAAGTGGAATCCTGAGCCCCAAGCAGAACCTTCTGAAGTGGGACATTTCCACTGGAAAGAACAAGCAATAGAAGATATACCTTCAAAGAATGATCAGCAAGAAAAACCCAAAACAAAAATGGCAGTCTGACTGGCTACTACAAGAACAGGCAAGCTCTTCACCAGGAAGCCATCAAGGCAAGCAATCAAGTTCCTTCAATACAAACTGGACACCCTCCAAGATTGAAATTCAAAGGGAACACATAAGCAGGCACATAAGCTTGCTGGTGATTACTTTACTGGTGAGTGGAAGAGAGGGAAAGGCAGCAATGAAGAAATGGGCTGCGTTCAACCATTTTCCCTAGACTCCCATTGACCTGGAGTTGGTCCAAAGTGTGGTGAGACCTGGGGACACCTGAGCCCATGGATAAGGACATAGTCACGATGGCTAGAGCTGAGAGTAAAGCATCCACCTGATATGAAGTGAGGGGAGACACACAACACCCAAACTTGCAGAGAGTACCCATTTGACCTAGCCTCAATGGCTTGATCATCAGAACTGAACTAAAGGAAGATAAAAAAAATAATTTTTGATAAAGGAAACGAGTATAAATTGCTATGGTTTGATTAACTTGACCTATACTTATGGATGTAGTAGCTCAAAATACCAACTGAGAGGGAAGGAGTCTTCACTTCAAGAATTATCCTAAACCCTTTGTATATAGGGTAGACAGGGAAGGGCAACTTAGACATTGGCTACCTAAAATCAGGGGGTGATAAAGGCACAAAGTGACTGGCTTACAAGTTTTCAAGAGGGAATTTAGTTTAAGAGTGTGCAGAGGAAGATAAGAGTCCCCACTGAATAGTTTTCATCTTGTCTAGGTAAGTCTGGTGAAAAGATGGGGGATTCTTATAATTCAATTGTGCGTAATATCATGACTAATTGCGACTGTCACAACTATAAAGGTAGAAGATTTGTAACAAAAATGGGAGAGTAGTTAATCTTACAGTCCAGAAACAGAGGATCCTAGGACTATTAAGGAAGAAGAGCACAAGCAGCACGAGGAACCCTATCCAGAGAAGCAGTGACACCAGAGATGGAGGCAGAGATGAGGATATAGAGTGAGGGAGCATCTGAGGACTCTAGACTCAAGGAAAGAGAGGAACTGAGCGCTGGCAACCAGGAGGCAGACTTGCAGAATGTGCCCTTTGATTGTTTAAATTATTATATATCCCTGAGTGTTTTTGTGTACATCTATCTTCCCACCCCCACCCTCCCCAAAAAGAAAAGAACAGAAAGAATGGAAGCAAATACTGTTGAATGATGATTCACGGAGAAGATTGTAATCATTGCAATGAAATGATAGTGTAAAGC